TATCGGACATGTGTCAGAAAGTAGCGGTACAGCTGTGCTGCATTAGTGAATGTCTGCTTTACTGTCCTGATTGGACTCCCTGTTAAGACCAGGGTGAGGTCATAGGATCAGCTAATGACCTCACCACCAATGGAATTCTGTTTCTATGGTAACATAGCCTGGCTACTGTTGCATCATCATTACGCTTATCTTGCTGTGTGCTGTAATAGTGGTGACTTATGACTTGTCTTTGTTAGCTATGCTGCAACTATAGAAACAGGAAATCTGTTCTATTTTGATTATGTGGTGACAATACTGTGCCACATTTTATGAAATGTACTTTCACTTTGAGTCACTAGATGTTTTTCTCTGGGGTTTCAGGCTGCTTTTGCTGTTAATGTCCAGCTTTCTCTGTTTTTCTTTGTGTTACTCTCCAGTGCTCACATGCACTTCACATGCACTTTACAGTTGTAAATCCACCTTATGCACATATTTAACATCTTGTTGTGGCTGCTACTCATACCAATAACTAATAATATGATCTGTAATGCATACACTGTATGTCCAAAAGTTTGTAGACCAATCTAATAGACTCATTCAGTGTTTCTTCTGAAATCAATAGTATTAATAGGGACTTTGTCTCACCTTTGCTGCAAGAACAGTCTATACTCTGCTGGGAAGGATTTACACTAGATGTTGGAACATTGTTATGAGGATTAGTGAGGTCAGCTACTGATGTTGGATAGTCAGTTCTGGATCACAAACTCATCCCAAAAGTATTTGATTGTGTTCCGTAACTCCAAAGAACACGGTTCCTCTGCTTCACATCCCAATGCTGGGAGGCTTTGTACCCCTTATCCAAAAGTTAGCATTAAGAATGGTGATCATAGACTCATAGAATGCTAAACTATAGTTGTAATCAGCTGTAATCCCATTAACAGATTGGAAAATGTAATTTTTATTGGATAATATATCAGCTATTAACCTTTTAACTAATCAAACTCTCTATTTGAGTCTTGGCTCTTTTCAGCGTTTTCAGCATGCTTATGCTTCCTTATGCTCTTAGGGAGGTTTTCCCTGCCACTGTTGCTCTTGGCTTGTTCATTAGGGGCCTAGACTGTAGCCCTTTTAAAGCTGCTTTGGGACAATATAAAAAAGCACTGTACAAACAGAAGTCAATTATAAGCTTTCCTGAGTTGATTAAAAGGGAAGGGGGAAGGGCAGACAGCAAGGGGTCAAGAGACAGCGCCACAACCATGTTGTGTGATTTAGCGAACATGATGGGGGTTGGGTGGATGGTAAAGGTTAAGCATGCATGGAAGAGAGAAAGAGAGAGATAGAGTTCACTCATCAGTCTCTTTTTTTGCTAATATGAGCTCGTCCCTGTCATCATAAAAACCACTGGTGTCTTTAATTCGGCAGCCTGATGGGCGCTTTTGTTCACATGACTGGGTTCAGGTCGTCACATAAAAGTGTCCAGTGTGCCCTGGATTACTTTTACTTATTTGGTTAAAATTATTTTTTTCTGGCTAAATTAGCCAAAAAAATCACTACATGTTCTTCAGATGGCCAAAACAACAATTTTGTCTTTTAAATGAAACAATCTAAGAAAATAAACATATTCAATCAATTTTGATTTTCCAGTTGGCTTTTAGGTTGCAGTGTGTATGGCAGTGAGATTACCTTTAAGAATGAATGAGAAGTTTATGTTTTTACTATATTCTTTAATTTATTAAATGAATAAACACATAAACATAGTAATATTTAAGGATTTAACCATTTCAAGACAGTACTAGTACAAAATTAAAAAAATGAACATTTCAATGAAATTAATGAATGAATGTAAAATTGCATAGCAATCTTGGTTTCTTCCAAAGTTCTCTCATTTATCGTGTTTCATGGGAACCACTGTCAATGACCAGAACTGCATCCTGTCAAACTGAAGTGGGCAGGTGGGAGGAGGGGCTTATGCTACACTTACCCATGTTTAAATGACTGGGCTTTTTTCTTTCGCTTAGAAAGTTGCTTTAAAAACAGGGGTTGCAATTTTGGGGTTTCATTTGTTTGAACTCAGTAAAGTTCAGTTTATCTGGGCCAAACTAATGTGGCGTACAATCAGAGCTCTGTAGATGTGTTTTTTAACACAAACATATCAAAAATCAAATTGGAACCTTAGAATTGAAAAACATATCATACCTGAAAAGATGAATATCCTTTCACGCTATGCAATTTGAATAATACCAAAGTTCTCTCATTTTGAAAGAAATGTGAAACATTAGACCAAATAAGGGAGGCCTGAATACTGTTTGAGCAGTGTTGTAAGAGTTCGGCAGGTTATGTTTCTACAATTGCAACTGATTAAGCTGTTTTTTTTTCTGTATGGGAGTGGATGAATTGTTGACTTAAACGTAGCATTTTCCATAAAGTGTAGTTTCCATTGGTTTCAGAGTGGGAAGACAAAAATGTTAGTCATTTGCCTGACACATTATGCTAATTATGGTGATTTTCATGGCCAATTACAGCACAGGAACCACTGCTGTTGCCTGGAAACAGTGTGTAAGCCGTCTGTCCTCCTACTTGTCACTCAGCTGAAGGAGTTTAAATGGTTATTCCGTCATCTTTGAGTGACAGGGTGTATTTTTTATGCTGTTGCTAAATATATGTTTGAAGTGGACAGGTTCCTTTTTAGCCCTATGCTTATGCTCAAGGCATGTCAAAGAGTGATGGATAAGTGAGGTTAGATGTTCAATGCTTGATTCATTTCATCTGTTAGGGAGTTGCTTCCTTGTACAGACACTGCGTGTGTTTTGTAGGCCTGCACGAGTCTCCACTCTGACTATAAGATCAGAGTTGGATCCAAACCAACAAAACCGCGCCAACAAGGGAAGAAGCTCAGCCAAACCATCTGAAGTGTTTGTGGGTGCACGTGAACGCATGTGTCAGTGTATTTCTGTCTTCTTCACTAAATTGGTTCTTCATGCATTAGAATTCTGTCAGCTGTTACTATGTATTTTACAGTGAGGAGTCAGGGTGGATGATTATAGTGTTATTCATTATGGAGAGTCTACTGAGTTACAGTTTTACAGTGCGCACAGTTTAAACAGGTTCAACGGAGTAGTACTAGTCTACTGGGAGTTGCACAAGACGGTCTGTAAACACTGCCTGTTATCACCTACTCTTTGTGTGCTTTTTGTCCTGTGCGTGTTCCATTATGTCTTCTCTGAAAAGGTATATGTCAAACAATAACTGTTCATTCATGCTAACGCCTAATGATTTAATGTAAAAAAAAAAAAAGTGGGTGCTATGCACATTGACCTGACCAATCTATTAATTAGTCAATAACATGGGTCAATATTGAGGCCCACTGATACTTCGGTATCTACTGTGCATACAGTACAATACAGTACTGTGCAAAAGTCAATGAAAATGGCCTTTAGTACAGGTTATTCATTTTCACACTATATGGCCACAAGTATATGGACACACCTCCATTGTTAACAGCTGTATAAAATCAAGCATATAGCCTTGCAATCTCTGTAGACAAACATTGTCTGTAGAATGGATCATACTGAAGAGCTTAGCGACATGTCATGGGATGCCATCTGTCAGGTTGTTGAAATTTCTGTCTTGCTAGATGTACCCCGGTCAACTGTAAGTGCTATTGTTATGAAATGGATGCATCCAGGAGCAACCAGCTTGATGTCCAACAAACCTATATAGGTGTCCACATACCTTTGGCCACATACTGTATTTCTGAAGAGATTAGATAGATATAAGGTAATCTGACTGCACAAGGTAGTGCAAAGTCAAAGTAAAATCATTGAAAAAAGGTGAAAATGGGACTGACAACCATACAAGACCTGGTAGACTAGCAAAGCTGTTGCTGATTTAGGATCAGCATCTCTCACAGTTAATGGTGTAATATTAAAACATGTGTTACTATTTTAATAATAAATTCACGCATTGGTCCTGAGACTTGTGCAATTCTGTGTAATTTCATGTCCAACTTGAAATTTCTCACGCATTTTTACCAAACTACCCACCAATTAATCTGAACGCTGATAATTTTTCCTACTGCTGCTAAAATTCCACTAATTAAAAGCAAGATAAGAGAAAAAAAGAGGGTAGAAAAAACAACTTCAGGAAACACACAACAAACGGATGATAACTAAAGGAAAACTGAACATGAAGAATAACTGATATAGCTGATGATTACACACAGCAGCACAGTTTATGCAGCAAAATGAACACGGTTCTTTCTTACATACAAGCTCAACAATAACCAGTGCTAAAAGCAGGCTCTTCTTATCTATTTTCACTGTGTGGTTAGCTTTGAGATCCGTGCCTATCAAATACAACCAGGCGAAGAAAGAGACAGTGCTGCACCCAGCTGCGGTGCCAAGACTGCTGTCGTGGATGAGCACGACAAATTTGCAGGTGGGCTGAACCTCTCACACAACTTCACTCTTGCAAAGTTCCTGGACCTCTTTCGCACTCTAAACTTTCGTTTCCCCTTCATGTTTGCTTACACAGATTCTGCCGTATTAGGCACTCAATGGAAAAGGATATAGAGATATATTCACTGAGGCGTTTGCTAAGCGTCATTCAAACACTGCCTTTAATCCACATATCAGTCCTCCCTACAAATATCTTCAAAATTTTGACGTCCTCACTGCTAATACTTCTCCTACCAGCATAATGAGAAGCTCTTTAGCACCGGAACTAGCTTGGCATTTAAGGTTGTGTTGGTGGCTCCGAAGAAAGTAATGCTTAGCAAAACCCTCACAGTTATAGTTATTTGTAAAACAGAATTATTGATTGGTCGATGTTAAAAAGGAATTTCGATTGTTATATTTTTGTTATTTATTTATTCATAAAACTTTTACATGAAAATTACTTTTGAGCATCAATAGGTGGGCCAACGATAAAAGTTGGTGGGCTTAGGCCCAATCATACCGTCACCGCTGGCTGTCCCACAGGTTACCATTACTCATTTTGAATTGGTCTATATTCTTTATTCTCTGTAATTATACAGTATTCTGCCTTCATTAGAGCAGGCTGACCAGCTTAGGGAAAAACTAACAATATTTCATTGCTGAACAACTTACCAAAGTTTATTTCTTTGTTGAAGGCTTAAATGTTGTCACACTTTATCAAGTCATTGAATGTGACCGAATATTATTTGACATGTGAGTACATTAAAAAATGGACATGCAGACCTTGCAAGAAGCCTTAATGCCTCCCTGTGTGACTAGAGGGAACTTGAACATGCCTCCACCTCAGTCAACGTCTGTTTATTGGCCTTGCAGCCTCTTGGCAGTAACAGTAGACAGCGTATGACACCCAAACAGTCCCCCCTCTGCCCCCACCTTTCACCTTTCTTGTTTATGTTTTTGTCGCAGTAGTCCAGTGGACAGCTGTGGTCAGGTCCTGAGTCATCATAACACTACACTGGTCAGAGCTGTTGTCTGTGGCCCGTGTGGGCCATTGCCAGGGCAGATATACCAGGCCAGGTCTGATTGAAACCGCTGAGCTCAGGATTCTGGAAAGACCTGGGCAGTTAGCATAGTGGAACAGCGCAGTTAGGGTAGTGGAACTTAACATAGCATAACAAGCCTGCTGGGACGACTGGCAGTGATGTAATGCTTGGCTGATCTAGTGTATGAGAGGAAAACAAGCTGGTGTGAAGCATCTGTCTTTTCAGTGAAGACAAGTGAGTATATGCTATATTAACTGTGCTGCTTAAATGTGTAATGTTGTTTTCATATGAAAATTGAAATGTATGGTTCAGTTACATGTCTGTTTCAGGGTAAATTAAGTCCTTAATTTTTCCATGTAACGTAGTAATATTCCAGACAGAAAATATGATTTAAGCCCTAAGTTTGTTGGAAATCATCTGGTTTTATCGTATTTTAACTTGTCATACTACAATTACAATATATAATCTATACTTACTGCCATATCGTGCAGTTATAGTAAGTAGGCATGTAACTATACAACACATCATATTGTATTGTATTGAATTGTTTTGCATCATGTCATACTGTATTGTCTTGTATGGTTGTATTGTGATTATCATGTTAACTCATGGCTAATGTGTTAGCTTGGGGCTAGTGTGATTAGCTTGTGGGTAGTAGTAGTTTGGGACACTAATATTTCAAACATTGTACTTTTATGGTGCTGAATGTCTGACGAAATGAAAATGGAAACATGACGCACAATATGAGCCACTCTTTATTTTTGTTTTTTATAAAATGTGTAGAATCGAGACCCCATTGTATAGATTATGTACATATCATTTGTATCAAATGAATTTCATGAATTGTTACACCCTAATAGCATGTTTGTAGGTCTAACAATTAAGACATACCGTAATTTCTATGACCGTTTTGGTTTATTCCTGTGCACATACAGTCAAAATGGTGCTCCTGTCTTTTATTCCTTTGTATTCTCTGCTCATCCATATTCTGACCACAGGGCAGGCTGCAATGTGAGTGTAGTTAATGTTCATTTGGGCTTCATACAGATATGAGTCAGTGAGTTGGAGAAACAGGCTAAATGAGCAGCTCTTTCCAGTTCACTTGGCTGTCCTGCCTGGAGGGAACCTGTTGCTGAGTCTGCCTTTTCTGTCTCCTGTCTCTGAATTAATCCTTCTCTTAAGTCTGTGCTTTGGTAGGAAACTGCTTGAACTGTGGTACAGTTCGTTTGAGGTGACAACGCAGTATGGACCAGAGAGGTCTGTACGGACCAAAGGCAGAATAAAAATCCTTCCTCTCTGCGTGCCTTCCTTTGTTTGACATGGGTGGGTTTTATCATCTCTGAATTGGTTATACTATTTCAGAAAATCACAAGATAATGCAAGACATGCATAAAACCCACAAGTGAAGTCAAGAGCCAGAGTACAGCATGGTGACAAAAGTCTGGTGGATATTATCCTTGTTATTGTCGCCAAATATACGTCAAGTAATCTGCTCAATCAGTTGTGACTGTTTATCCAAGGAGAAAAAGAAGTACGTAGTCCTGTCTTAGATGAGTTCAGTGCATGTTGTGAAGATGCCTGTCTACTCTTACATACTTCTAAGACTAAAGAGATGTCATTTGATTTTAGGAGAGTGTACTTACCTTGTTTGACCACCATTAAAGGTCAGCCTATTGAGTCAGTCACTAATTACAAGTATCTTGGGGTTGTCCTAAACCACAGGTTCTCATCCTTGGTCCTGGCCTGCAAATGTTTGCTTTTCCCAACTCCCAACAAACCTACTTCAACTCATGAAGGGTTTGTTAATAAGCTGATTTTTTTTTTGGATCAGGTGTTTTGGTAGCAGAAAAACACTAAAACGTGCAGGGCAAGGGTAGGGAACCCTTGTCCTAGAAGTTAAGCTGAAAAGGGATCAATGTACAGAATTTATTAAAGGAAAGGGGCAGCAAAGGCTTTATTTTCTCAAAAAGCTGACTTCCTTTAACCATATGTCAGACTATATGTAAGATGTTTTACAGTGCTTTTATTGAGTGTTTTAACCTTCTGTATTACTTGCTGGTTGGAAAATATGTAAATTGTAGCAAAAAAAAATGTTGACCGCTTTGAGCAAATTTTTGGACAACCATATCACTAGTTTAGACAATATTCATAAGTCTAGATCTCATAGCAAAGCAGTGAAAATGTTTCTGATCCAAGAAATCCACGTTCCGCATCTGATGGCTGTTATCGCAACCCATCTTTTTGTACCAACAGGGCAATGTTCTGATTCGTACCACAGGCTAGCGCTATGTATGCGCTTTATTCTGTCCTGCGGGTTTGGATAGAGCAGACAGGCTCACCTCTGAAGTTGATATTAATTCATTGTTTACATGTGACTTGTCTCAATGTGTTTTGTTGTGTTGTGTTGCTAAACAAAATTCGAAAAAATGAACTGGGGAAAAAAACTATTTCCCAATAAAGTTCTTACTGCTCATCAGGAATCACTACTAAAAAACAATGTTTTATTTCCTGCTTTGGTGCAAATCAGGGGAACGAAACCATAGATGTTAAATGCCCCCCAGTAAGTCCTGGATTTGCAGATTAGCTTTTGACATTCAAGCAGTAAATATTTACCCCTGCAGTGTGCACACACTCATTAACCTCAGTGATTGTGGGCTGGAAATTTGAACACATTATATGCTTTTTATTATGTTATCTGATTTGGCAGCAACCTTAGACAATTTAATTTGCCCTTGATTAAAGCAGCCCGTAACTGACCGCTTAATATTCAGCATCCTTGCCAACCGGCAAGCTTTGAATTTGCATAATTGCGCACACACATTTGTTCTTGCTCATTTGGCGTAAGCGTCTGCTTTTCTCCCTGTTTTGCGCTCGTTCTCTTTCTCTGTACCCTTGTGAAAAAAAAATTGCATTTAGGTGTGCATTTGTATTTAACATGAAAAATACATACTTTTAAGGCTTACAGTTGAAACATACTTTATTACATACTAAATGTATGATTTTGGAACAACTTATGATGACTTAAATGTATTTAAATTGTCATTAAGCTATGATTATATATGCATTTACTTGTGCTGTTGAGTGTTTTCTTCAAACAGCTAAAATAATACAGCTTATTTGGAATATTAAAGCAATAAGCCACAAGAGGCCGTGGGTTACTGCTATTTTATCACAGGAAGTGTGTTCTTAAGGCATGACGGAGAATTTCTAAACTTTCATAGCTAGCATAGCTACTATTTAGGGAGAGTGGAGCCGTTTGGGATTCAGCCTGAGTTTAACGGTACTTCTGGCTGAAACACAAACATTTGAAGCGTGTAATCCTTTCAAGTGACATTTTTAAGACTTTATACTGCCGTTTTACAGTTAGTCATAACGCAAGTGCTTTAATTCAAGCCTGTGATATTATTGATGGAGTTGTTTGGGCTGTTAGCTAGCTAGGTTATCTTTTAGCCTGTTAGCTAGCCGACCAGCCCAGTTCTAGTTAAAAACAAAAGTCACCAGCCCCTCAGTTTAAACAAAAAACGGGCTCTTACTTCATCAGTATGCTCGGTGGTCCATGTGAGCAGCATTAAAGTCAAAGATTATTCCATTCACGGCAGAAGGGTTTTTCGTGCTGTAGCGCAGTAATACAGAGTTCAGTTGTTGTGAGGCGGTCATAGGTGTGGTATGTCGTGGATTTTGGCTTCGAACACAGCTCAACCAATCAGATTTTAGGACCAGAACTATCCGTTTTAAAAATGATACATATCTCACTGGATGTACTTGAAAAGCGCAAATAAGATGCATTTCAATGCATTTCAAATTTTCATTATCACGAAATGCACTTAGCTGTCTTCAACAAATAAAATGTGCATTTACTCTTATGAAGTATTGTTGAGTGATGATAAATGATGAGTACATCTATGCTTACAGATGCTTTTCTGTTCTAAATTGGACTTGTGATGCAATGAAGTTAACTTAAGCAATTGTTAAGACACAAATTCTGCCACACTTAAAACATATTTTTAAATGACTACACTTAAGTAGACGGTGCAACTAAAATGTTAAGACATTGCTTCAAAATATACTTCTGAATAATACACTTAAGTTGATGATAATTTAAATATACGTTTGTTTAAGAAAGTGTAGATTTGTATTTCCATAAAGTATGTGGAATAAAAAAACATGCTTTTAGTATTCTGTATATACTACTAAGTATACTATTGATGTACATAAGTATGTTTATTTTTTGGAAGGGTATCTGTCTTTTGCTCTCATTTTCTAGCCCTTCCTCGCTCTTATTCTCTCTCCCTCCTGCCTACTTGCTGTGCAGTGACTCAGCACTGATGATGCATGCTGACAAAAGCAGTTGCCTGCCCCCCTCTCTCTCTCTCTCTCTTTCTCTCTCTCTCTCTCTCTCTCTCTGTCTCGTCTCTGTCTCCTGTCTCTCTCCCACCCCCCCCCACCCCTCAATATTGCTCTCATCTAATCTTGTTCTCTCTCGTCTCATTGGCCGCAATGCTGACCCATGCTGCATCGCAAATCCCAAAATGCTTTGCAGCTGCAGTGCCAAGAGTCAGTTAGAGAGTTAGCATTTAAGAGATGGGGTCTTTGAATGGGTGGCCAAGTGAGACTGCAAAAAAGTAACCGAGAGAGAGTAAGATTGAAAGGAAGACAGAGGGAGATTTAAAAGAAAGAGAGAGAGAGAGGCAGTGGGTGGGGGTGCGAAATCAGAGCAGGAAGGAGGCAGAGAAAGTGAATGAGAGAGAGAGAGACAAAAAGAGAGGAGAATGGTATTAATGAGGACTTGAGGGGAGAGGCTTAGCCGAAGTGATTTGATCCGCTCCTGTTCATTCACTAATCCCTGTGTGGAGTGTTAGTTGGATATGAGTCGTCATCTCTTTTCTGGCTTAGTCTCAGCGCTCAAATCTCTGCACTGCTACACACAGAGAGCTGGAGCATCACTAGGTGTCAACATGTGGGCTGGGCATTGCTGAGGATGACCGGTTAATGGTAGGAATTTTGTGAATGTCACCTTTTCATCATTTGCTTTGCACTGAAGTAGGTGATGTGACATTCTCTAGATGTGCATCTTGCTTAAACACATTCATCTGTAGCTTTATATATCTGTCATAGTCATGTATAGCATAGACATGGACAAATATCATAGTTTGGCCTTTATATATATTCATTTTTCTGACATGTATAGTCTGAGTCTAATGTGTGGTCATACAGAGTATTTCATACAGAGGATT